CCCCAAAACCCCAAAACCCCAAAACCCCAAAACCCCTTAATTAAAAAATCATTTTGCACATAATAGTAAAAAATGAAATTTGATGTTCATCAAATGTGAAGAAGGGGTAACTATGGAGAAGAGAATCATTACAGTTTCTACTACTAATGGAGTTGGAAGAGCTCAAAGTTATTTTTAAAAACTCAAAAGTTTGAATGAAGCCTTGACCAAAGACTCGAAGATGAAATCAGAGACCTTTATGAAGATCACAGACACAGAATCGAAGAAGAGCTTGACAGAGGGGACCATGTCCACAAGAAGAACTTCGAGATTAAAAATGTTTCTGTCATGCCTGAAGGCTTCTACGAAGACAGCTGGAACACCAAATTAAACCAGAGAGTTGGAGAAGGAAGAATTGCCTTCCCCAATGAAGTCTTCTACCAAGAACAGCTTGATAGAGACATCCCACATGGGGTTGGTCTGAAGGTCCTTCCAAATGACGACATTTAAAAAGGTGATTTCATCAGCTAGAAAAATAGAAGGCTTTGGAGAGTACATTTTCAGAGAAGTTGACAAAGATTGCAGCCAGTTCCGGAACAGATATGAACTTGTCGAGCTTTTCGTGAGTGAACTTGTACAAGATGCTGTGCAGTTTGTCAACTTGCTGCTTGTGAGTCTCAATCTTGCGCTTCACAACTTTCTTCGGAGTGAACGTTTTGACTCCATTTGGGTACACAAAGCTCTCGATGCCTCTGGTCATCTCTTGCGGATACAGCAGACACCCCAGGTGGAAACTCACGTTGAGGTGTGTGTTGTACTCGAAGTACGAGTCGATGAACTTGAGGATGCAGGCTCTGTAGAAGCTGCAGGGTTCTTTCTTCTTGTTTTTGAGATAACCAGTGTGGTGGTTGAACCTGGTCTGGTAGAACTTTCTGCACTTTCTGAGAATGGTCTTGTATGTGACATCTCTTCGGGGTCTTTTAACTGACTTCGGCTCTGTTACTGCAATCGCAACTTTATTAGAGTCAATTTCAGTGTGATCGTCTTTGATAGGCATGGCTTCTTTGTTTGTATCGACCTTTGATGGGGAATTGAGCTGGCCACCATTTTTCTGTGGTCAAGTAGATATTTTGAATATCTTCATTTCAGGTGTCACTTTTGGAGTTGAGCTAGTGGCTTTGGAGCTGTCTCTGACCATGAGATCTTCAACAGGCTCTTTGACCATGAGATCTTCAACAGGCTCTTTGACCATGGGATCTTCAACAGGTTCTTTGACATGTGGGTCTAAACAAATAGGCCCTGGTCGATAGACTCGTGAGCTTGGATATGGTCATGCTTTTGAGGCTCAAGACTCTTTAAACTGTCAATTGAGCAATGGCTGGGAGTTCTTCTTTGACAGGATCCATCATGGCATCCACCATGACATCGAGGAGAGAACTTTGACTTAGCTGATCGAATTCCTGGAAAAGATCATTCTCAGTCTTTTTGATATTTAAAGATATTTTCAATTTTTGATTATTCCGAAGGGGTTTTGGGGTTTTGGGGTTTTGGGGTTTTGGGG